AAAGTTCTTCCTATGTGCATCCAAGTGGAAGCACATCACACAGTGTAGAAATGTACGCTGGATAGCCAAATACAAACAAAACAGGTATAACATAGATAAATTAATAAGAACATCACATCTCACTTATCCAAGACATCAATTTTTCATATAACATTAAAATGCACATGTATGGACACAGACTACATTTTATCATGCATGTGGCGCTAGTAAAACATCACATGGCATATTGTCGCTCGCAATACACGAAGAGTAGTCTACGAGTACATGTCGGATCACACCCTTTACGCACTCTCACTAGAAGGAATACTACTAGAGTCTTGTCGGGATAGCTAAGCCGTACAAAATACATTTCATGCACACAATGGGCGAGACTGGGACTTACAAACCAAGCTATCCCCAAGGACTAATCTCCAAAGCTTTTACACTAGGGGGCCTTCTCTGGCGGGGTATTCCCTATCATACCCTTTAAACATTTATGCACATGATGCATGTCAATCAAGACTCGATGCTTTTCTCAAATCATATTATCATGTCTCATTCTCATATCACATCGTCATGTCTTATTATCATATCACATCGTCATGTCTTATCATCATATCACATCATCACATATCTTCATATCTCATGTCTCAATCACATTTCACATTATCTCATCATATTCACATAGTCTCCACAAAACACTTTAATTTATATCAAAACTCATCTATTTGTAAAATTAAATACATATTTGTACATCTCATCAAACAAGGAATATAACAAAACAATCAGAAATCAAAACAGAAAATATTTATATTTTGCCTGTTTTTCATAGGGTTTCCCGCAGAAACTCATAGAGCACTCTAAATCATATCAAAACATATTTATTCTCAAAATTAATCACATATTACATTCAACAAGGAATACAATAGAGCAATCAAAAAGAAAAACAAAAAACATTCATATTTTGCCTATTTCTCATAGGGTTCTCTCAAGAACCCACCATTAGTGGAAAAAATACTTTTAAAATCGATCATTTTTTACTTTTAAAATCGGTTCTCTGACCGATTTTAAAAGAGCCGATTTTAAAAAGTATAACTTTTAACATCGGTCATGCATCAACCGATTTTAAAAGTAAGACTTTTAACATCGGTCATGCATCAACCGATTTTAAAAGTAAGACTTTTAACATCGGTCATGCATAAACCGATTTTAAAAGTTAGGCTTTTAAATTGGCACAGGTTGTTCCAGTTTCCTCAAAAGGCCTAAAACTGTAGTCTGGAACGGCCCATACTGCAATTAGAACTGCCCGTTCTGGTTCCAATACGGCCCGTACTATAGTCATAACAGGCCGTTCTGATTGTAGAACAGGTTGTTCTCCAATCAGAACGACCTGTTCTAGTTGCAGTACGGGCCGTTCCAGATTCGAAATTTACGGAAATGCAAGACATGAGAAAAAAAATTAGAATATTACCTTGATATAGTCTTGCAAAGAAAACGAAAAAGTTAGGGACTTTAAATGTGAGTGCGAGAGAGTAAAGAAAAAAATGGAGGAAAGGATTAAAGAGAATAGAGGGAGGGGAAGAGAATAAATATAGGCGTTGACATTTTTAAAGTCGGTTATTTAAGAACCGATTTTAAAAGTGCTACTTTTAAAATCAGTTCTTAATGAGCCGATTTTAAAAGTAGCTTTTAAAATTTAAAAATAGCACTTTTAAAATTGGCTCTTAAGGAGCCGATGTTAAAAGTAGCTTTTAAAATTGGTTCTTAAATAGCTGATTTTAAAAGTAGCACTTTTAAAATCGGCTCTTGAGTAGCCGATTTTAAAAGTAACACTCTTAAAATCTGCTACTTAAGAACCGATTTTAAAAGTTACTTTTAACATCGGCTCCTTAAGAACTGATTTTAAAAGTTGCATCAGAGACCTTTTAAAAACGGTTAAAAGGTAGCCGATTTAAAAAGTAATGTCATCATTTACAAAATTGTCATCGCGTCACTTTTAACATTGGTTGCTTAAAAGTCGATTTTAAAACCCCAATTTTAAAAGTGATTTTTGTACTAGTGCACAGAGACCTCAAAACATACAAATTATTTACATATAAGAAGAGCAATAGAAGAAACATATATAATTGGGAAAAACCCCTCATACATGAGCATACAACAAACATAGGATTGGGGGTCAATCTCACTACCCAACATATATTCCCACTCCCAAAGCGAGGTTTCTCACTACCCCCTTACCTCGATGATCAGGAGTTGAAACTAAAGCCAGATCTTGCTAGTCCCTCCTCTGGTTTCTCCCTTGGTCTTCAGAGAGTGTAGAAGAAAAAATAGGTCAGAAGTGAAAAATGTCCTTTTGGGAGTGTCAGAGCGTGCTATTTATAGGTATCAGATGTGGCCAGAACGACCCGTTTTAAATCCAGAACAGCCCATTCTGGACTCATGTGTCATACGTAAATTACATATTCAAAATGACATGTTCCAAAACTAGAACGGTCCGTTCTGAAATCACATTTTACCTACAATAGCCATGATTGGAACGACCTGTTTCCAAATCAGAACGGCTCGTTCTGGCTTCGCATTTTACTCAAAGAATCATGTGTTGTAACGACCTGTTCCAATCTAGTCTTTATAGGTCATTTTAGTAGTCTAGAACGACCCATTCTAATTTGAAAACGGCTCGTTCTGGGCTACTAAAAATCAAAATATTACAAAATAATTTTTATAAATATTTATTATTAAAATACTCATAATTATTAAAAACCTTTAAAATATTCTATAAAACCCATTAAAATAGCTATAAGAAAATAATCTCCATAAAATAAAAATAAATAATGATTAATCATTAAACTAGTAAAATAATTCAGGATGTTACAGCTGCATATAAATAATCTTCTCAAGATCCCCATGAAGAAAAATTTGTTTTGACATCCAATTTTTCTAACTCTAGATCATACTAATTCACAATTAACATTAAAATCGTTATAGAACAGTGTTTTACCATAGGTGAAAATGTTTCATTATAGCCAATCCCTTCGACTTGGGTAAACCCTTTTGAAAACATAACTGATTTGCCAAAGACTTGTCATGTACAAAGATTCCAACTTGACCCACATGGCAACAACTGTCTTTTCTCTTGCAACCTCTCTTAGGTACCAGATGATAACACTTCTTACCTTATCAATCATCTCATTCTTTTCTTTCTGTAATAATGATCTAGACATTTTTGATTCACCCTTAAAAGCTTCTGCAACTCTTTGTTGCACCAAGATAATAACTTTCATATTTATCTTCCATGACCCAAAGTCATTGTTCCTTGAAAACTTCTCGATATCATACTTGGTTGTTCCTATGATTCAATTTTTCTTTTTCTTTCTTCTCCCTATAGACAATGTCACTTTTTAGTTCTAAAACAAGATAGAAAACAAATAAGAACAAACCTTATGCAAGAACAAACAAAAAAAAAGGTGAGAAATCCAACAAGAATGTAAAAACATAAACGTGGAAAAAACACAATAGCAAAATGAAAAAGATTGAGAGAATAGAACATAATAGATTTACGTGGTTCAACCAATTTGAGCTATATCTATGGGAGAAAGCAAATTCCACTATTTGAAAAATCAAGATTAGGTCTTTACAATAGATCAACCTCTTGCTTTTCTTAAAAAATTCTTAATCTCTCTAATCGGTTCTCCGTTCCTCTCTACGTATCTTCTTCTAGACTCTCTAAACTCATACTTAACACTTTGCTCTCACGCTTTCTCTGTGTGTCACACTTAGAAAGGATCCCTAAACATATATATATATATATATATATATCCGTGTGTGTGTGTGTGTG